GTCTTATAGGGTGGAAGGATATTCTGCTTCCTTATAGCTGGGGGCCTCCCCAACGTGTGTGTAGTTTGTGCATTTGGCAAACTTGCTGTTGAGAATCTAGCAAGAATTGTGCTAGCCACTAAGGAGAAACAGAAAAAAGTCATCGTGGCGGTCCTCAAAGAACCTACCATCAGAGTTCTAAATGACCCACTCTCTGCCTTAATCAAAGGTAATGGAGGAAGTATTCATTCATCTCATCATTTAAGAAGGATTTTTTAGGTACCTAATATATTAAAGTCTCTGTGCTATGTGCTACATACAGAGAAGTGAACAAGAAAGAATTGGCTCTTGCTCTCATAGAGCTTACAAAAGGGAAAACAGACAACAGAGTATTTGTTGGTGTTGTTATACATGTTGAAGGGAAAAGGAGATGAGAAGGGAGGATGTATAGAAAAATGGTACCTTGACTGGGAGAGGGGAATGCTGAGCCACCTAAAGGATAAGTTAAAGGTGACTCGGGCAAGAGCAGAAGAGTTTGGAAGAGAATATTCCAGCAAAACTGAGAAGCATTGGGGCTGGCCCCGTGGCCGAGTGGTTAAGTTTGTGCGCTCCGCTGCAGGCGGCGCAGTGTTTCATTGGTTCGAATCCTGGGCGCGGACATGGCACTGCTCATCAAAACCACGCTGAGGCAGCGTCCCACATACCACAACTAGAAGGACCCAGAACGAAGAATATACAACTATGTACTGGGGGCTTTGGGGAGAAAAAAGGAAATAAAATAAAATCTTAAAAAAAAAAAAAAAAAAAGGAAAGAAAAACTGAGAAGCATTTACAAAGGCAAGGAGGCAGGAACTGAAAGGTCAAGGTGGCTGAATTAAAGAGAGGAAGAGGGGCTTTATATGAGATGAAGATGAAGAGAGAAAAGAGGCCAGCCTATGCAGAGCCTCACAGGCCATGTTAAGGATTTCTGTCTTGATCCTAACTCTCTCTGAAGGATTGCAAGCAGGAAACTGATGAAATCAGATTTGCATTATTAAAAAATTTTCTTGCCTGCTCTGTGGAGAACGGATTAGAGGTTAGAGGGACAAAGCTATCGTAGAAGTGCAGGTAATAGTGGTCTGATGGAGGAGGTGGCAAAAGATGGACAGATTCAAGAGATATTTAGGAGGGAAAATGCACAGAAATTAGTAAAGGACTGAACATGGGAGATAAGGGAGAGTCTGGTATCAAGAATGACGTCCAGGCTCCTGGCTTATGCACAGAATGGTTGGTGGAGCCCTTCACGAAAATGGAGAGAAATGGGAGAAAACCAAGACTGGGACAAAGTGAGCTACGGCAAGTCAGGCAGAAGGCGATATTAAGGAGAACTCCAAAGTGCTCATCTGGGCAACTGTTCAGCATTTAGTGGAAGTAAAGACTCTGTGAATGTTGTTTATGCCTTTTGGGGGAGGAAAATTTTCAATGATTGTCAGATATAACAATATTGTTTTAAATTTGGTGTCCATTCATTACTCGAACATGCATCAACAATTTAAGACAAGTATAAACTAATTAGTAGCATGGCAATATTTGTCACTCGGTTATGGTATAACATAGCTCCTTTACTCTCCCTTTCCACTTCTTCCTGATTTGCTTCCCCATAATTTGTGTCCTCACTTTATCTAGATGATGATATGGAAAGAGATGGTCAATGAGGTCAGATTCCATGGTTCGAATCCCATTGCTGCCACTTTCTAATTATATGATTGTAACAAGCTGGCCAACCTCTCTGTATCCATTATATTATATTATACTTATTGTGACAAAAATATTATTTATATTATTATTATTATTCACCTATAACAATACCTACTGCAGGAGCTTTGTAATATTTTAATAGGAAAATCTATCTAAAAGTTCTGGTACAGTCTCCAGTCTATGGTAGATGCTCCAAAAAGAAAAATGGCTACTACTATCCTACAATGTCAGAGTGTCCTTGCCCCTCTCCTGACTCCCTTTCAACTGGCAAAACAGGATGGTAGATGTAACTCTCCTGCCCACCCTTTGGGGAGAAGAGAAGCAGGGCATCATTCTAATTTGAGCTTAGTATGCATGTTTCACTCATAGGGAAGTCCCTGCACTTCCCTCTCCCATTCTTTCGCCTGTCCCCTCTCTAAAGAATATGACACCCACCCCACAAGACAACTGCTGAGGCCAAGAATTTCATCCTTATATTTCCTCTATCTCCATTTATTCTCCTTAATAACAAAAAGGAGCTCTTTTTGCATATATGGGAACATACTACAAATAGGAGGGGCGCAGTAGAGTTTCTCAGGTTCCACCTGCATGGGTGGAGGTAAGCCCCTGACTGCAGTACTGTCACTTTCAGAAGTGTGTAGAACCCAGCAATAATGTTCCAGTCTGGGGTGCCCCAAAATGCTTTTGACTGAAACATTTGAGTAGTTGTTTATGTGGACATAGTGCTAGTTTCAGCTGCCAATTTTAGAATTAAATGGCTTACATTACTACAAAATTTTAGCAGAACATGTTTTCCAAAATAAATGTCATTAAATCTACACTCCCACCAACTGATTACAGACTTGAACTCAGAAAATATGGCAAAAACAGCAGAGCGGCAAAAGTAAGAAAAACACATGCTCACTTCATATGGTAAAAATGACTCTTCCTTTCCTCTGCGGAAAGCACACACGCTTGGCGAGTGAGCAAAGTGGATCCTGCTTCCCTGGAAAGGAGGGAGAGCCTAAAAGGCATCTACTCGTTTTAGGTTCAAGTTGCATTAGACATTGTTGAATTTACATTTTCACGACTTAAGTTTACATTTTTAAATTAACAGTGAGTGTCTCCTTGTTTTTTATGAATAATTTAAAAATAAACCTGATCTGAAAACCTAAAGAAAATGGTTTTGGCAATTCAGGGCACCAGGATCCCTGAGGAAAGCTGCACTGAGAGTCTTGAAAATAATTTAAGTCTTGTCTCTGGAGCTGAGGGTCCTACCTATCTCCGGAGAGGTTATCTTTACAGTCTGAGAGTTAATGAGCCATGAAGTGATCATTTAAGAGCTTGTGTCACAGCAGTGGCCATATGAGTTTGTCATTGTGATGACATTTCTTAGAAAATCATCTCAATTTGTACCTTGTACTTTTAGAAGAGGAAAAAAAAAACTGTATACCTTATTCCTACCCATTACCTCCATCTGGGATCCAAGCAGTGTCTGATCAAACATATGGCACATAAACAGTAATTTAATTAAATGTGAACAAAGCCTTTCATGTACCATATTTAAATTTTGAAATGTAGCCCAGTTTTCCTTCTATTTAAAATACATGAAACAACACACACACACAAAAAGTCACGTAGTTAATGACAGATGTGATGATGACATGTGAAGTGCTCTGGCTATGTGATACAGCCTAGCTCCATCAATACAAATAGGCTATTTTGAGCATACTCCACCTTGGCCCTCAGTTGTGTTGAGTATTTTTGTCCTGACCAACCTATCATTTTAATAAAATTGCAAGCATAGCTTCATTGTGATTTCATCCAATTCCAGCATCTGAAATGGTTTGATTTAAAATCACGCTAGGGTGTTTTCAAGCCAAACCACAAGCCAACCAGGGAATGTTTATTTAAACTTGTATGTTCTCTTAGAAGTTCCCAGGAAAACCAGGGAACAAATATAAGTTCGAAAAAAGATGTTTGTAGACACTGCCTGTAGAGAAGATATGATACAAATAAATATAGCTATATTTATATAAATTTTATATAAATAAATATACAACTATATAAATACATATATAAATATATGTAAATATATATGTAAATATATATTTAAATATAGAATTATATATATAATATATACTTATATAAATAAATAAACATAGCCAAATAAAGCTACTTAGGAGTATTCCTACAACAAAACAGGAGAATTTAACTAAGGACTCACATAATATTAATAATTATCAAATATTCCTCAAGTTGACCAAAAAAAGCAAAAATAAAAACAGATTATGAAAATCCTGGAATATTCGTTTATATTTCTTGATAAAAATAATCAGAACTCTACAAAGGTCCTAGTTATCTTATTCTACACAAAGTAAAATGTCTGAGGCAGATAAAACGATCTATATAAAAGATCATCCAGTAGATTGTTTTCTTTTTTGGAAAGCCTTAAAATGATAAACAAAGTAATTTGCAATCTCTTTTTTTCTAATTGCCCAATTACACACTTTTATTCAAGCATCACATTCCTTATGATAAAATGGATTCCTCACAGCCATGTCTCCTGTTCTCATACAATAAATTCAGATAAAAACCTACTTGGAAATTTCTTTTAGTAAAATAATTAGGTCAAACACTAAAAGTATAACAAGGCTTTCAGAATGAGAACTCACAGACTGGATGTCCTTACTACTCCATCTAAAAAAGTGTCACATGTTGTATATACATTTAAAACTCATGATGCCTTTAGATTCAGTTGTCTTCTTCATTCTTCAGCTTCCATCTTCTAGAGATCATAAGGAAAAAAAAGACCAATAAAATTTAAAACATGTTGTGCCGAGCCCTTTTTTCCATTAATTTTTAAACCCGTGCATATGGCAAGGGAAATAAAATCCGTGTGTTTCTGACTCATTTACACTCAACTCACCAAAATGTTCTTTTTAGAAAGAGAACTGACATTCAACAAGTCTTCTGAACCTCTTTTTCTTTTTCATATTAGTCCCATCTTGTCGACTCACAGCTCCCAAGGTTCAAGGTTGGTTCACAGCTTTGAAACCATATGCTGAGAATAAGCTTGAAATTTCACAAAACAAACATGCTTTGCTGTGACCCTCTCTGAAAATAATTCAAGTTGAGCTTTGGGCGTGACATTTTGTCACTTCTACTTCAATCTTGAGTTAGAGTGGGAGTGAATGAGGCAAGTGGAAAAAAAGAAACTTTAAAAAGAAGAAGAAAGGAAAGAAAAAGGAAATGACTAATTCACTTGGGATGTGGTGCATAGAAAGAATTCTGGACCAGAAGTAAGGAGAGGCACTACCACTGTTCCTCTCAGCTCTGACACCAGCTGGGGTACAGCTAGGTTAAAATGTTACCCATCCAGTCTGAGCAACAAAATCCGCAATTATAAAAATGAAGGGTTAGAATTTACAAAGTTGAATGAGATGATTGTTATGTTTCCTTCTGCCCTTGATACTTCTCTTATTTATGAATTTATTCCTGAACAGTAAAGCAAGCCAAACCACTCAAGGAGCTCAGTGATCAAGAGAATTGTCCCAAAGCAGCCCTTGTTCTACCTCTGGTTCTGTCTCTGCCCTCTCCACTCCCCACACTACCCCAGAACATTTCCCTGACCTCTCGGCTGCTCCAATCCCTCCAGCTTCGTGTTCCTATTGATCCGCTTCGATTTTCTGTTCCTATTGATCCATTTCTATTTCATATTCCTATTGACCTGCTTCTCTGAATCTTGAATCTTCTGCTTCATTCTACAGTCCATTCTTGGACATGAATTGGTTTCCTTCATACTTGCAAGCGATTTTGCCCCAGAACACTTTCTGTGGTTTGTAGTCTCTGAACCTCTTCCTGTCTTCAGTCACAAAAGGCCGGTTCCTGCCTCAAACAGCTCTAAAACTGTGTGTGTAAATACCATGAAAATTGGTTCAGATTTAACTGAAGGTTTAGTCAGGTGTAAAACTACACAATCAAACATTAATCCATGATAACTTTTACTCAAGTATTCTGGTCTAGAAACATATCCATCTAGGAGAAAAGAAAAATTATTTCCAGCCTACTCATACGAATATACAGGAGCTTTTTAATAGACACATGTTTAATACATTTTACTTGAAAGAAGGTCTTTGGGTCATCAAAATTCAGAAGAATATTCTTTGTCCTTTTTTGTGGAAAAATTAGCCTATTGCCTTCTGCACAATGTTTGGTTCACATGGGCCAATGTGGGGCTGTTTATGTTGACCTTGAAGTTCTTTCATTTAAGGCACATAGAGTTAATATGACATATATTGCAAATCCCCTGACTAAACATCTTCATATTGTAGAAACTCTATTTATGCTTGTGATGATTTTGATGTTTTTTTGGTCATCCCTTGTGTTTATCACTTTAAAGATTTTGTAACCATGTGTGTGGAAAGTGATTTGCCAAGTTTCAAACCCCTTGGAATTTCCTTAGTTCTCCTTTTGGAATCAGACTTAAGCTCTTCCAGGTTCTGTTTACTGCAAGCTAATGATGACTTCCTTATCCAAATGGAGCAAAGACTTTTGAACATATATTAAAATGTGTGCATGATTTCTGAGACATCAAATAGCTAGAATAACAAGTCAACATTTTGATGAGTTGTGTAAATTAACTGAAAACACATGAACTAAATTCTCCTTGAAACACAGATGGTTTGAGAAACCTAGAAGTGGTTGGAAAAAATATGGCCTTTATTTTGACAAACCCCCAAAGTTTAAAAAAATAGTTGAAGATTAATTTCTATCTCTTTCCAATTGTTCCTTTAGATTTTTAATAGATTATGTCCTTTTTGTTTGTTTGTTTTTAACCTGAATCATCTGAGGAATGGAAATCCTTTCTTCTTCCTTCTTCTTTCTCCTCTTTCTTACTCAAAGATGAATGAGTGTCAAGGGCAAGAAACCCTTCTTCCAAGAGGGGAGAGCACTAATCTGATAAATATCAAGACACTGGTCAGCCATGTTTTCTAATGGATGAAACACTGGAAGTGCAAATAAACCTATATAAAGCTCTGCTCCAGCTCTATTTCCTTTGTTTGGGCAGAGGTATCTTTTTGTACTCTTAAAGTACTAAGTCTTGATCCTCTAATGTACTCTTACAAATGTAGCGTGGCTTGTCTTCTGCCTGCTTTGCTTCTGGGCTCTAGGCCTCCATTGGATCAAGCAAAGGGAGGCCATGGATGGGGAGATGAGTTCAGGGGTTACCGCACTGGTGTTGTGGCTGATGCCCAGTTAATAATAAAATGATGTTTTTCTTAGTCTTCTTTGAATATCTCTCTCTTCCAGGGACCTTGTGGGAAGAAGGGATACTGAGATCAAGGCAAGATTCTAGATCTCTGGACAGAAAAAGTCAATATGTTACTGAGCATCATCTAATACCACTCTGTTATTATTACTTCTGATACTTAGAATATTGTACAATATTCAAAATGTCTCCTTTTAAAATCATTAAACTTTATATGACAATGGAAAGGTGTTTTCTATAAAACTTGTTTATCCAATCATGTATTTTTCCATTTTAAGTGTTCTTTATTCACTTTTTTTAATTATAAAAGTAATACATGCTTGTTGGCCACTGTGTATAAATTTTAGAGGAAAACATAATCACATCACCAAATCATATTGCTATTAATAAAGATATCACTATTGAGATAAGCAATTTTAACTGGTAGATGTATAATTTCAAACCTATTTTCACATGTATGAGTATGAGTAGTTTCGATGCCTTTTGAAAAAAAAAAATTCATACTATATCACATTACCTCTCAACTTGCTATTTTCATTTAAAAATGTGAAAATCCACCTAGTTCAGTAGCTATAGCTCAAACAGATCTTTTTAAGTAACAGTACAATCTTCTATATCATTGTTGCCTGTGATATGGTCAATCATTACATCACTGATGGACCTTCAGGTCGTTTCTAGCTTTTTGCCATGCTGAAGAGTTTTGCTATACAAATCCTTGCACATATGTCTTGCATTCTGGACCTTTGATCTATGCAGTATTGATGCTTAAAAATGAGATTGCTCTGCCAAATAGTATGGATATGTTTAATTTTCAAAAACTATAACTACATTGCTTTTCAGAAAGAAATGCAGAGATGTGTGAGAATGGCCGTTTCTCTGTATTTTCCTTTTATTTTTGCACATTTGATGAATGAAAACAGCTATTAGTTTTTCTGATTTATTTTCTATTCAATTAATTTCACTTTTGCACTGCTGAATTTTTCTAAAAGTTTATTTCTGTAATTTAAAACGATGATGATCGATTTTGTAAAGAGAACATTGCTAATGCAAAATTGAACACAAATCAAAAAAGTGAGTTAAGCCATGTGTTGACATGAGAAGATGTCCACCAAACTAAGTAATAAAATCACGATGCAAAACAAAATGAATAATAAAGATTTTACCATATAAGACATAACCAAATAAAAAGATCTCCCTTAGCTGAATTCTCAAACAGTGCTCACCAAAATGATAACAGTACTGCTTCTGGATGCTCTCTTTGGAGGGGCAGACTTTCACATTTTACTCCAAAGACACATTTGTACTGTGTAAGTTTGTATGAATGTCTATTATTTTGTACCTAAAAAAAGATATAAAAACTCTAGTTGATAAAAAGAAGCTAATTGCAGTATGCCTTACAGTGATAATGCTGTTTTCTCTAGGCAGTAAAACCTCCATTTTCTTACCTTGGTCAGTATTGATATGTTGTAGTGAATTTGACCTTGTTTCCTAAAATCTGTCCAGCTCAGGCTGGTATTCTCCAGAGAGGATTAATGTCTGTGCTAAATTCTTCTGGCTACTTAGTCCCTGACTCAATCTAATGAAAAGCGACTAGTTTAACTCACGTTACCCAGGTAAGAAAATCAACATTTGGAACACAGTTGCAAGTGGAAAGATTGTACCTATGAAAGCAGCATTTCAATTACCAAGTTGCTGTTCTCTCAAACATTACTTTAGACATTGATATTTGTCAGACCACTCTGACGACTTTTGACATGAGCCATGCTCAGTATTGAGCGACGACAAATATGTATGAGACTAATTTCCAAGTTGGTCGTGTGGTATAATTTTATTCTTCAAGGATATTGCTGTCGTTTATAATTTTCCTTTCTGGGTGAAGTATGACTTGTTCTAGTTAATTAGGTGTTGTAATCACTGAAGTTCAAAATGCAATATCATGAGCAAAAAACCAACATTATCCTTTCTTTAATTAATTACTGAAATATTTAAAGTTATATTGTACTGATAAACGATTATACAAACTGATTAATAAAATGAATAAAAATTCCAGAAATAAACATTATATTATACAATAATATAATTTATATCATTACAATATAACATTATATACTTCTATATTACATTATATATTAAATTATAAAATTCACACTTCAAATAAGTGAAAAAGCGGATTATTCAATAGTGGTGGTAATACAACTGGGTAACAAGCTGAAAAGAAAATTTAACTCCTGCCTCTCACATTATTCCAAAAGAAATTCCAGATGGATCAGATATTTCAACATAAAAAATGAAACCATAGAAGTACTAATAGCATGGGAGAGCTATTTTTATAGTCTCACAGTAGAGTAGGTTTTCTAATCTGCCGCAAAACTAAGAAACAACAAAATATAAAACTGATTAATTAGACAACATAATAAGAAATTCCTCCATATCAAAATACACCATCACAAGGTAAAAGACAAATAACAAACTAATACAAAAAATATTGAAACGGCACATCCTGAATTGTCAATGTTCTTAATTCATAAAGAGCTCCTAAAAATTAATAAGACCAACAAATTCATGGAAAATGGAAAAAAGGATAAAAACAAATGAAAATTAAAAAGACTCTTAAAAACCTATACAATATTCACCATCACTCATAGCAAGAGAAATGCAAATTAATACTTTGAGACACCATGTTTTACTCGTCACTGTTAAAGATCAAGTTTGTACAGCCTGTTGGTATAGGCAAAGAGAAACAGACATTCCTATTTATGTTGATAAGACTGCAAATCAGAACAACTCATTGCAGAGACTTTGGCCATGTCTATGATAAAAAAAAAAATTATTTTATCCAACAATTCTACTTCTAGGAATTTATTCTACATATTAACTCGCATATATTCAAAGTAAACCATATTGAAGGATATTCATTACAGCATTGTTTACAAGAAAATAATACTGAAACAACCAAACTGGGGGACCTGGTTGAATAAATTATATTACTTCTGTATATTTGAATACTATGCAGCCATCAAGAAGAATGAGCCAGTTCTCTGGGTCCTGATGTGTACTGAGTAAAAAAAATGAAAGATACAGAACAATGCGTTTAGTATACTACCAAGTGTTTTAAAAAGAAAAAAAGTACATATACATATATGTTCAGGCGTAGAATACCTTGAAGTGTAGATATAGTTCCCTGGAGACAGTGGGTATATCTATGGAAAGGAGCTGAGTGCCTAAGGGACCTGGGTAGGATAAAGACTTGTCTCTTACTATATACCTTTGTTACATTTGAATTGTATCCTTGTCCCAGTGAAGTATTCCAAGAAGGGTTCTTGCTGCTATTCAAGGGTACTCCCTTCCACTCCTACTTTGCAAGTTAGTGACTCGATGCAGAGGAATAAGCTTATCTAAGAACTAAAATGTTTCCTCTACATATTAAGTGCCAAGCCTGAGAAACTGAGATCATAAAGTTTTACTGTCATGCGTATCATGGTGACAATTGGAGAACACGAAGTGGAGCAAATTCCTGTAAGACAGGAAGTAAAAAGAGAAAGAAGTTCTGGGGCTTGAGGAAGAGTCAATGAGAAGGAGAGAATAAAGAGAGGAGTGAAGTTCAAAGGTGACTGTCCTCCAGTCTTGGGGTCAAAGCCCTAACAGAATGGGTAGAAACATCCAGATGCAAGCGGGGGAATTCCAGGGTAGATTTTCATGTTTGGTTTGGTTTGGTTCAGTTCTTTGGGTGTAGCCTGGGAAACTTTCAGCCCTCTTAGGGAGATCCCAAGTTCATCATAGCACCTGAACAACAGGGACCTATCTAAGCAGGTGGGCTTAACATAGCACCAGCAGTATCCCCTGCCTGAGCATGGCGTGTCCAGGATCCAGATCTTCCTGCACGCTCTGATGAGAGGACAGAAAAGTACAGTGTGAACTTGTGAACCTGAGGAGAACTGAGGTAATGTCAAGGAGGGTACAGGATCTTATGACTAGACTCAAGCCAGGGACCATGAACTCAGAAGTAGATGCCAGTGCCATGCCAAAGGCACTGAACAGGACTGGTCACCAGAAGGGAGCACCAGCCCAGGACATCCAACGCAAGACCTGATCAACCACTCTGCCATGGGGACCACTGAGAAGCCAGAAGACAGTCTGTAACATAGACCTCACGCCTGCCTTCTTGAGAACACTTGAGAAGCCCAGCTTTCAAGACTATTATTTTGCTGTGAACTGAAAGGTAAATTTTGACCCTCCATGTTAAACTGTGACTTCCATGTTGTAGGTGGAATTTGTCCTCACCCTAAAGCAATGAATGCCTTGATACAATGCATAGGGAGTCACAAGACATAATTTACGGGGATTGTAAAGCACTGTAAAATACACTAGTTCATATTATATCAGTCCTCTTACATCAGTGTCTGGTTTATTTGTTTGTGTGTCTGTTGTAAATCACCTAAAGTTCTGTTAGACATAAGTAAATATGTGTAAACATTCTGACTATAATGTTGCAAAAATCAATATTTTTTGTCAAGAGCTAACAAATATTGCATATTTGCAAATGAGAATTATATTTTCTGCTAAATATTTATTCGATAGGCAGAGACTGCATAGGAAACATCAATATTTGCTATTTATTGGGATCCACTTTTCTCTGACCTTGAACATGCAGCCAAGACTTCAATAAAATCTCCATTTTAGTTTCAACTGCTCTGAAAGCATCAACACATCATTTATCTAAAGCGAGGGCAAAGTGTGTGTGTGTGTCTGTATGTATAAAAATTATATATCTTATAGCCACAAAAAAAAGTCTTCAGGTAAAGCAGCAATCAACTATTTATAGTGCTTTCAAGTCTCTTTCCAAACACACTATGAATATCCTTGGAAGCCCCCAAAGTATTTCTCGCCTTGTATATTCATCAAAATGCTGGGAAATTACACAAGAGCATCAGATAAGGCGGTTAATATGGCTGGCACCAACGTGACTGCTCTACTTTTCCCTCTATGATTAATTACAACTAAATTGATGTTACCAGCGATGATTCATTTACAACTTAGGTGCAAAGTAAATGAACTAAGCAAATTGGAATTGGCACTAACAATTTCTTAAGCCTCAGCAAAGCATCCAAATCATGATAAGCTATTACGCACAGAATAATTTCTTCCCCAAAATGGTTAAAATGCATAAGTGTAGACTTTATTTTTATAGAGAGATATATTTTTATATCTTCTGAAGCAAAGTTTAAATATAAAAAATAACCTTTTGCTTTTATTGCTTACATATACAGCATATATATGCATGAGACAACAAATGTCTCGAGTCTCATTCACTCAAAATAAACGCAAAATGTTTTCTTCCATCCTCATCTTTTAGTATTGGTTTTAAGACCTTAGATTGGGTTTTGTATAGACACAAACCCACACTTGGCCCAATTGTGTGTTTTCTGAGCCAGTTTTCACTTACTAAAAATGACAGGAATTATAACTATTCCACAGAGCTATTAAAATGTTAGCTGAGACACCCCGGCACATACTGGGCTTCCTGTAAGATCGCCCAGTACAGTTTCCAGTGGGTTCTCTTAAACAGAAAGTAGCAGTCTGATAGAGGCTTCCCTTACTCTGCCAGTGCCCCTTCACATTTTCTTATAGATCCAAGTGCATAGGAGAATAAAAGCCTAAGGGATGCCATTATTTCCTCCAAATAAACGGAGATAATAGTCAGGAAAATGTATTTACGATGACTGTGTACTCAAATGGCATTGAGACCACGGCACGCAAATATATACTCTCTTTGCAGAGGGAGGATAAAGTTTCAATGAATCGGATATTTTGAGAAACACAGAAACATAATTATTAGAGCAATTAAAATGTATCTGGTTGTAACATCTGATTTTACTGTAAGAACCCTGGGAGAGATTGACTAAAGCATGGATAAGGGCAGGGTAGGAGCTGGAACTCAGTTCTGGTTTGGAAAGTGTTCTCTTGTTTGTTTAAAATCAACAATGTGTGTTGTCAGCCTGCAGAATTTACAAAATTCCAAAATAATACCATGTAAGCCAGTTGAATGCCTTCTTCTGTTTCAAATAAGATTTCTTCAAAAGACACATTACTCAACACTGTTGAATGGGATAACCAGATAAGCTTCCCAAAGCTTTTTGCTTTTCATTTCTTGGAGCAAAGACCATATTTTAGTAAATTATTTATTTTAAGCACTTAGAATAATGCCACCTGGCATGGAGGAATTGCTTGATAATTCTTTGTAGAATAAATATGTGTTTTATTGCTTAAGATTCAGAATTGTTGGGCATTGACAGTTAAGAATAGTGAATTTTTAAAAAGAGAATATGACAACTATCTTTG